GAAGATTCATTATTCGGCTTTTGAAAACTACAAGCTTCACCTTACTCATTTTTTTAATTTTGAAGAGAGAATCAAGTAACACTATTTTATGGTAAATTGTTTTACTTTACCTGCCAGCATTTTTTTCGTTATTTACTAGTAGAGAATTGATCGTGGTAAAGGCCCTGATGCTATTTATCATATAATGCTGGAATTATGTCCCCATAGGCTTCATTTGCCGGGGATCGCGTTTAATTCTGCAGCCATTCATGCATAAAATTCTCCAAACATTCATGTCACGCTTCAGTTTATTTAATATAAGCCACATTTCTGTTCACTTTTCTTGGCTTGCTCCAGTCTGACACTTTGGCCATCAAGTCTATTCTTGTTACCTTTGAGCCTAACGAGCCTGAGTTTGTCGCTTTGCGAGTATTGATGGTATCGCTGGTATTGGTTATTTGATATTGTTGATCTTTGCAGTACAAATTGAACTTGTTACGGCTGTTATCATGACTGATCTAGTCGGCTTCGATGAGGTCCCGGTTAGTACACTCTCTAGGAGCAGACCTGGACAGTTCAGTCAATTTCCTTTGTCAGCTCCGGAGTCCGAATACCGTAGGTTTAAGAACCAATTCCATGTCCTGGCGGACTGAATCGAGCCAGGTTTTGAGCTAACCCTTTCTTCGACGTTTACAATTAGGTAACGCTGTCGGATCCAGGACTAACAGTGAGCTCATGATGCTGACGACGAAGAACTTATCCAAACCACGTCAGTCGCCTTTCTTGGATGGCCCGAGATATCTTTAAGAAGTCGTCGCAGCGAGTGCGGCTTGTCTCATTTGAGACTTAGTTGGTGTACTTCACTAAAAGGATGGTACTTAATAAATAGTGGCCAAATACCTTCAAAATTTTTTATCTTCGCCGTTTATAGCGCAGCATTCACAGTCGTAGAAAAGGCAGACTTAAAGTATGCATGGTATATGCGAACCTTCGTGACAATATAAATATGGTGTCACATCCATAGGCACTTTCTAAGGCTTGAATATAGTTTCAAAAATTAGTTAAATAAGTCTCCAAATTATAGCTTTGATTATTGCTGGCTGGGTTCTGAGTTCTGTTAAGCAGGTAACAGTAGTGAAAACAATTTTATGTTCGATGGCGTGAATGCCACCGACCAAACTTTGAACACCTGATTTTGAATAATAAATAACTGTGCACTGGGTCTGAATTAACGATGCCAAATCCCCAAGTGGTTCGACTCTGACCAGGGACTTAGGGAAGGATAATAGCTAACAATAGTTGTCCTAGATTATAAAATCTTATAGAATGTGAGTTAGTAAGTAGTTTTCAAGGAACTATTGCGCGAACTAAAAGGTACTGACTGTGATAACGAAATCGACTTTTTCCAGCTTTTCCTTGGATCCGGCATAGTTTTGGCACAGGTTATGGTACACACTTCGGTTGCTAGCCCATCGGTTTTGTTTATATAAGTGGATGCACTTCGGAGACTGCGGTTTATGACCAGTCCCAGAAGTCTTTTGCAATTTCACAAACGCATTTTCAAAACCAAACACTGTAAATCATCCCATTTTCCCATAACCAGTAGCACGAGGAATGACCCACAAAGTAGGAGGTCCACTTATTGAGATGAAATCTTTAGTTTTTGAACATTTCCTATAGGACAAAGTCATTGGATTAATTTTCAGTGATTTTAAAGGATTAATAGACGTGTCTGCTCGAGAATTGTCCTCAGACATTGTGCACGTTCCTGATTTTTGGGAATGAAAATGGGTTGACTTGTTGATTATGAATGTGATATTTGTCTTTAAGGCTGCTAATGACAAAATGTTGGAACAATGCCGTGACCCGTCGTCTAACTCCAACCCTGAGTACTTCTTAACTCGACATGTGAACTTCGATTGGACCATCGACTTTAACACCAAGACGATTTCGGCCTCTGTCGCGTACGAAATGATTCCTTTCGATTTGCATACCGCTCCCGACCAAATGTTGGTAAGTATCTCTTGAACCGGTCTGCATTAACTTGCTAACCTCTCCTCAGGTGTTTGATGTCAAAGATCTAGAAATAGCAAAAGTTTGTGTAGGTGAAACCGAGACGAAATGGTCAGTAACTGACGGCCCTCATCCGGAATTGGGCAATTGCCTCAAAATTCATCTTCCTGGTCAAACATCAAAGTAAGTTGCGCGTGTATGGTGGCCCATGGTTTTACTGCTTATGTACTATTCTGTTCAACCGGACACTCCTGTTACCGCTTCGACCTGTGAGCATCTATCTATTTTTAGTGAGATGCTTACTGTTAGTTAAACTTGTGTGAGCAGACGTACCATAGTTGACAACTGGCTCTGCAAAAATTTACAACCTTCTAAAATAAAAATTCAGGAAGATTAT